CCCATCTAGCCACGGGAGTTTTGAATGGAATGCTAAAAATATAAATACCCCGAGGCACGTTGCAGCCGCCCCCCACCCTTGCCGACGGCCTGCAGGCGCGTTGTGCAGTAGAGGGGTTAAATTCTTACTAATCATCACTCCCATATCCCTATCGCAAACCGACTTCACAATCTCAACACCATCTAGCTCGTATCTTGTAACTATATCATCATTACCTAACCTTAAAACCTTACATTTGTCAGCATTAAAGTGCATCTGCCAATTTTTTGACCATTTCAAAACCCTACAAAACCCTAGCAGTGACCCCAAAAGCAGCATGATGGAGGCTACACCGGTGATCGGCACCCTGAGACAAGGGCAACAAACAACCTGCAAACTCGCACACTGCGAGATGGAAGTTCGCGGGAATGGCGTGCTGGGCTGATGACGTTTGCTTGTTTCCTTTAGGAGGAATACTGGGTCTCTGTTTAGTCTTGGCTTACCATTTTCTAAAAGGTGGGGTTTGTTCTTGGATGCTCATCTTTCTGGGTGCCTAACCGCGGTTGATGTCAGAAGGGAATACTCCCAAAAACAGTGGAGTTTCCTTGGGCCATTGCACTCTGCTCCTCTCTGAGGGAGCCAGGTTCTGGCCCTTCTCACAGCAGTGAGAAGAGAGGCAAAAAGAAATTGAGAAAGGGATAGCAGACAAATGTAAAACAGAACCAGGCTTATTCTATAAATTCATTAAAAGCAAATTGCAGGTAAAGGATAATATTCTGAGGTTGAAAATGGGACAGTCACAGAAAATGAAAATGACAAAACCTGAGAAACATTAAATAAACAGTTTCAAAGTGTGTTTGTGCAAAATTTATTTTTCAGATTCAGAGAACCAGACACAATAAGAATTCCAGAGAACAACACAGAGCACACAGAGGTGTCTAGAAACGAAATGGAAAAATGCTCAAGGAGCTAAGTAAGAACAAGGTAGTTGGCCCAGGATGAGTTTCACTATGGATTCTGAGAGAATGCACACATGAGCTCAGTATTCCACTTCAACTGATTTTTCAGGCATCCCTGTGTAAAGGAGTCCTGGCAGATATATGGAAAAAGGCTAACATAGTTTCAATGTACAAGTGGCAGCGGCTACCTTAATTATAAACCTGTATCATTGACAAGTGAAAATCAAAATGTTGGAAAAAACCAGCGTTGAATGTAATGAAACGCCATTTTCTGGGTGAGTCCTGGAGGCTCCCCGGAGCTATCCAGGCTGATAGGGATAGTCCTAACTTTTGGCATCAGTCGATGTGGGTGGAGTTCTAGGCCTACCGGGGACCACGGGCAGAATGTGGCCCCCCCCCCCACCTCAGAGAGGCACGAGGAACAATGGCCTGTAGAAATGCAGATGTGATTTTGGAGCATTCTATATCTACCATCGACCAAGACAGGCACCCAGAAAGTTAAGTGCCTCAAAATAAACCCCTATTCTGGTGAAACCAACGAAACATGTGGACAGAACTCCGCCAAGGAAAAAACAAGCAAACAAGCATGAAGACACACGAGCCGCGCCGCTTGTCTGTGCAGCTCCCCCCTCCCCGGGAGGGGGAAGGGGGAGCCCCAGGCCCCCGCGCCGGCGATCCACACCTTCAGTTCAGAGGCTGGACATCAAAATACGCAAAAACCGCCGACCAGAGGGAGGGGGAGGGTTGCCAGGGAGCTTCCGGGACTCATCCAGAAAATGGCGTTCATTACATTTAATTCTGGTTTTCAGGGGGAGCCCCTACTTCCCTGGAGCTACTTCACCAAAGACTATGGAAAGAAGGGGACTTACCCAGGAGGCAGTGGGTGCTTCACACCTCAACTCGAAGTCAAGACAGGCTGCAGCTGCTGACCCAAATTGACACAGGATCGATTAGGCCCAGGAACGTTCACGAGGTAGCATGCACCCAGGACCGCAGGCTGGCTAGACTTAATAACCCTGCAAACGACCTGAGAGACCCGTAACCGCGAACAGGAAAGAAGGGAAACGGATCAACCCAAAGCGCGTCCCTGGACACATAAGCCGTGGCGCGCAAATAACAGCGGAGGACCACAACTGGACACAAAACATGAAGCACCCCAGCCCTGACCAACCAAGCATCAACAACCCAAGGACCCCCTCCGAAAAGCATCAGTCTCATTCTTCGCCAGAAAAGAAGGAAACGGCTGCAGACGAACAAACCTATCTCCATGACTGAAAGAGCGGAAATCTCTGTGCCAGAGGAGAGCATGAAGCTCCCCGACCCGACCCCCAGAGGCCAATGCCATCAAGAAGAGAGCCTTCGAAAAACAATCCTGAACCGAAGGGGCTACAACAAACCGAGGAGAAGAAAGATAGAAGAGCACTAATTCCAAAGACCAGGATTGCTCAGGCGGCTCATGAGCAGGCCGGAGGTGAAACAACGCACGAGACAACTTGCGAAACGGCACAGAAGAAACATCTGTACCGGAAGCAAGATGAAGCAACTGCGCCAGCGCCGCACGATACGAGGGGACAGTATTTGGCATAAGATGACGGTCTTGGAACAACCACAAGAGAACGGACAACACCGTCCGAACCTAAAGTGAAGTACAACGACGAAGAGTCAAAAAAGAAACAGAAGGACTGCCAGGAAACTTCATACTGCCGCCGAGACGAAGCCCGCAGGTGGGACACCATCAACGAAGCCATCTGATCACTATACAAATGGTGATGAACTCGAGTCAAAATGTCCAAACATGAAGACTCGAACCATGGCTGGGCTGGACTTCATTGGGCCAAGAGGACAACTCACCTCTGGTAAGTCTTCAAGCGAGCCAGGACCTGGAGCAACAGATGAACCGGAGGAGCAACCAAACTGGCCTCGCGGTCGGGGAAGGGCACCACATATACCAAAAGACGCCTCGACCACACCGACGCGAAGAGGTCCACCTCCGGGCGCCCGAACATCTGGCAGAGCCAAGTGAAGGTGTCGGCATCGTCCGTCCATTCCGTGGACAGGGGAACGAACCAAGACAGGCCGTCTGCCAGGACGTTGGACACCCCCGGACGTGAACTGCCAAGAGAGCCAAACCCCGAGAACTCAACAGACGAGTCACCCGAAGCGACTAACCCCAATGAGCCAAGGACCGCATCAAACCCCCACCGTTCAGGCAATGAACAACTGGGAAGCAGTTCGAATGGAGCCAAATCATCAATCCGCGGGGGACCTGAACCCTCCAAAGTGCAAACCACACCACCGCAACTCCCGCACCGGCTGGGAGCCCACACCAGCCAGTCGTCAAGGTAGGCCAGAACCCGAACCCCTAAGAGACGCAGAGGGGCACCACAATCCAGTTAAGGCGTGTAAAAATGCGAGGTGCCAGATTCAAGTCGAATGGAAGGCACCAAAAGCGGTAAGCCTGACGCCCCACAGCAAAACCGAGCCAGTCCCTGAACCCTGAATGAGTCAGGACATGCCAATACACATCTCAAAGGTCCAGGGACACCATCTAAGCGTCCGGCTACAAAAGAAGATGGACCCAAGACAGAGTAGTCATCCGAAAGGAGGGGCAAAAGACCCAGGGGTTCAATCACTTTGTCAATGGGACGAACTGCGAAAGGGCCGACGCCCCTTACAAGAAGCCAACTTATGAGAAGAGAGATCATCGCGCCGACCAATCATAGTCAGTTCCAAAGGCTGAGCCGGCTCCAAAACTGGCACCGCCTATCACGACAGGAGGAACCCCGAGCCCTAGCCCGACCCTTTCAGGAAGACCCCCCCATGGGCCCCCCCCGGAGAACCAAAATGTCCGACATGAGATGACAACTAGAAGAAGCCGCTTGTAAAAACTGCACCACCGCACACTCTGCAAACAGCAAAGGACCAAAAGGCGAAGAAAACCTAAGAGCCAAGGCCCAAGTGGATTCCAAGGATTGAGCAAGCATCGCCTGACACCACACAAGAGAGGCGCAAAGAACAGACAAACCACTTCCCGCAGGATCGGCACAAACACCTTCAACAGAGCAGTCAATAGTTGCAAAGTAATAAACAAATTTTTGGAAGCGATTTTTTTTTCAGAAGCTGTTTCACACCAAACTTAAATATAGTTTAATGGTGCTCATTATGTGATAATATAATATATGTTTACTAAAAAAAAATATAAATTAATTTATTATGGGCACACTTGTGGCCATACAAGCAAAAGATGGCTTGGACCCCTTCCACAACTTATCCAACAACAGGTAATGTAAATTCCACTAACCCAGAGATTCAAGTTACCAAAAATTGATTTCATCATGCACAGTGAAACTGCGGGAGTAATAAGGTTGTGATGAAACAATAAGAATTGGTTCATTTTGTACATTCTTGGTAAACAAAAATTTGAATAACTCAATTCGGGTGGGCCTCATAGATTCAGATTATTAAGTGTATTTACTACATCATGCTTGGGGTAAAACTTTCCAGTAAACATATGCACCAACAAGTTTTCCTCCAGTGAAAATTTGGTAACTATAATTTTTGTGCAGCAAACTAAATGTAGAGGTTTATAAAAACCACCATTATATGGCGCAAGTAAAAGCTAAATACGCCTGCCTTTTATGAATTAACAAAACATTTTTTTTTTCTTTTTTGAGATATATACAAGAGTTGTTACATTCTTGTACAGCCACTAGTACGTGTAGCGTTTCAGGCAGGTCCCTGGAATACGATCCCCGCCGCGAAGAATCGTTTTTACAACCAAGTACCCATTTTACTGTTGAGTTAAACAGAGGCTACAGTTAAGGATTTGCGACTAGTATATCCTTCTCGGCCAGGATACGAACCCATGGCAAAGCGCTCGCGGAACGCCAGGCGAGTGTCTTACCACTACACCACGGAGACTGGTAAGCTGATCATTAGCTGACATTAGCCGATCAATGCCTTGATCCATGCCAATATACACTCTGGCCACATTACCTGATCAATATACAACACATCAAATATCCAGACCAGCCAATATCTGTGCGCTACTGAGCAACTCACCAGAGGCTATCATTGTTGGCAACCCCACACTGAGAAAAGAGCAGGTAGATGAGGTTGGACGTATTCATACGAGTATAGGGATTGGGGTAAGCTATGAATGCCGTGATGAGCGTCACGATGAGCACCTCCAGCCGGGGATACTGGCCCATCAGAGATGTCTTGCGAAACCGGCACCACTTTATGTTGAACTTGATAAACAGAGTACCAATGATGCCCTAGAATATGAAAATATACATTCAAATGTCTAGAAGATATATAAGTTACACTCAGGAAGCCAAGAAACAACTATAAAGAATGGGTCAAATATAAAGAATACTGTTTAAAAAAAAAAAAAATTGTGCATGGAAAGCAGAATAATTCAACATATTGACAATGGGTTTAATTTCAAGAAAAAAATATACAAATTTTAGGTAGCTGTAATAATGTAATTACACTGCACCCTCAAAAATCCTGACCTCCATACAACGGATCCCTCTAAACTATGGGGATTTCCAACTAGGGGGTTTATGGTTTGAAAGCCACACAAAATAATTGTGTGCTGCCTGTTTGGTGATTTTATATCTGAAATATTTCATACTGGTGTGTGGGGTGTGACAATAATATTTCATTGCGGATTGCATTTATTAGTGTTTTTAATTGTTCCAGTTCAAAGTTTAAATTTACTTTAAATTCCCTCTCTATTTCATACAAGAAAAATTTTGTCTTTACATACAGTGATGTTTATAGTGTTCTCTGATTGTGCCTATGGCACCCCTGCTCTTCACTGGTTCTAAATGCAGATTAGAACCAGTGAAGAGCAGAGGTGCCATAGGCACAATCAGAGAACACTGTATAAACATCAGAGGTCCGTGGTTGTTCAACATCCTCCCAGCGAGCATAAGAAATATTGCCGGTACAACCGGGCTGTGGTGGATATGTGGGACTGCGGGCCGCTGCAAGCAACAGCTTGGTGGACCAAACTCTCACAAGTTAAGCCTGGCCTCGGGCCGGGCTTGGGGAGTAGAAGAACTCCCAGAACCCCATCAACCAGGTATCATACATAATACTGTATTTCAAATTCCTTGTCTGCCAAATACTGCATTTTACCTAAGAGCTTGCTTACGTTTTTTTTTTTTTTGTGGCATTCAGGCCTACTGTAAGGATGAGAACAACTATAACTGCGTATTGTGCTAGGCACGTCAGTTGTCATTTTTAGACGGGCTTACCTAGAGCTGAAGTTTGACTACATATTATTTTGTGGCCTCCCATGACTGCTGGGAGACAACACTACATTATCTGAACAATTCGGGCAACATTGGTATTCAAGCACTGACACTAAACACACACATCTTCATTTGATGATGGCTGCATTGCACTAGACCAGGGGTCAGGAATGTTCTTAAGTACTGTATTACCCAAAATTTGTGTGTGTGTTAAAATGATACAGTATTAACAACCAGGTTCAATAGCTTTCAATAGAAATAAATATTAGTGTTGTTTTCCTACAATTTTCACAACTTGCTTTACCACTGTACTGAGCAGCTATAAGACAGTTATAAGTATAAACTCACAACAAACCACTGAGATGGTCTGTTGAGAGTTTATATAAGCAGAACAACAATCCAAGGTCAGAATAGCACCTGAAGCTCTGTGTGGCAGGGGCTGCCCCAAATATATTTTTACACAAATTCAAAGTCTTTCAGTGGTTTTATATACAGGGTACAACTTTTTGCAGTAATATTATTCAATAGTGTGTAATTTAAGGAATGTGTATAGTTAAATGTGTGGAACATTACTGTTAAAAAAATATGGTGCTCATACTGTATCTTATGACACGGATATTATATTCTAAGATCAAACTGTTTTTGCTGTTATTACACTATATATACACTTTATATATACACCTGTCAATGTTTTTATAAACTGTAATGAACCAATAAGTAATTCTGGTGGGTATGGTGATGAAATCTTTGCACAGTATAGAGCTATACGCTATGACCAGCTGACTCAAGCAGCCGACATCACCTGACGCACTTAAATACTGTACCCAGATGTATATGTACTTCGCATGTCTTTATTATTACTTTGAATACTGCTATTATTATCAGATTTCTGTCACTAAATCATGAAAACGAATCATTTTGCACAAGATTATTCATTAAAGATACATAATGTCACTTTGCATGCCGTGTAGATTCACAAATCTGGGCTGTGTGCTGTGAATGTCTGCCTCCTGCTGTGAACATCATAACTTACATTGTGTTCACTGATATCTGAACCTTGTACGTAGTTTTTATTACAGTCAGTATCGACTATGACACTATCACAACAAAATAATTGCAGTTACTTATTTTATTGATGATTATTAACCCTTAAACCGCGCATATCATATATATATATGATATCAGTGACAAAACCGAAACTGCGCACATCATTTATACTGTATATGCTTTCATGTCTAGCGCTATAATTTAAACGCCCCGCCTGGGATAGGGGCAGCTATAGTACAGCCACGACCAACAGTTGCCAGATGCCACCTAGAAAAAAATCCAGGCCAACATTCTTGGGTGTTAGAGCGTCAGTATTGAGCAAGCCACCAAGGCTGGCGCACGCAGCACGAGCTCACAGCACCGCTGTTCAGCTTGTGACCACAGCATCGCCTACAAATACCATAATATACATGATACTGCTATTATTTAGCGATGATAGTATTATAGAAGCCCCCTGACTGTGATAAAACTGACCAGGATTCTGATAATAGCAGGATTGTGGTGATATTTAGTGCTGTGCTCCATGGAGGGAGGAGTAAGGCTGTGGGAATGAGGGTTGTGGCGTCATCTTCTGACTGTGGGGCCACCTTTTATTGACTGCACAAAAAAACTCAGAAAATATCAGACATTGAAATAATTAGGTAATAATATATTTGTGGCAACTGCCATCTGACAGCTCGGGCGGAGTAGACCTCGTCTGGCGAAGGCTCTGCCAACACCCCTTTTTTGCCAGACTTCCCTACCCTATTGCGGCTAAAATATGCCACCTACGATTTTTTTGTTATTTTTTCCGTGATCAGGGAACAAAAATGAACACTTCTATAAGACGAAAGAATTTTTTGGATTTTTTTTTTTTGTTGCGCCTGTGGGTGTTAATTCCATTTGGGCCCCTAGCGGTTTGAGGATTAAGTGGTGCTGTGGCCCTGATTTGTTCAGCTGTGCTGTGAGCTGCAGCTGCATGTGCCAGCCTTGGATGCTCTGGCAGTACTGAGGCTCTCACTGTCAGGAGGGATGCAGATCATTTTTTCAAGATGGCATTTATTCACTGGAGTCCTGAGGAACGGAATGTGGGCCCCGTGTATCCGTGGGAGTTTTGAATTTCACAATATATTAACAAACATGTAGGGAGGCACACCCCCTTTCCCATGATATCACAGGTTGTGCAATACAATGGTTAATATAAAATGCTATAAACAATTTTATATACTTTTCTTTGAATTTTTAGCTTTCATTATCCCAATTTTTTGTTAAGTTTGATCCCATTAGGGGTCATTTACCTCCTGTTCCGGGACCACAGCAGCAATCAACACATGATGATGACCGCTCTCGGAGTGTTAAGCTTATGAGAAAAATATATTTTTCAGATTATTTTGCATGCCATGTTGAGATAACAAATGGGTACCTACCCCAATTACACCGAGAACAATGAAGGGCACCAGCTCAATGAATATCCAGGGTTTGCTGTATTCCACATAGAACAGGACGAGATGCTCATTCCCAAACGGGTTAATGGATCGGAGGACAAACGCAGCTACCAAAGCAGCAAAGAATGACCGCCACAGTGTTTTGAGTGGGAAGTAATATGATGCCTGTGGAAGAAGGCATACAATGCAAATTAAAAATTAATTCATGCAATTACCTAGATTAATTACCTGGATTAATTACACAAAAATTAATTACCTAATAATTACATTATTATCTTATTCACTCACTCACTTTCACTCACACATGCACACACACACACAAAATAACCAAGTGATGAAAATGGGAAATTGAGGCCATGATGATGAGACCCATCAAGACGAGAGAGATTGAAATTGAGACGGAACCTTCATGAAGCAAAATGATTGATGGTATAAACAAATATTCAAGGTGATAGGGATTGGGAAGCCTGTGAAATAGTACATAATAAAAAACCAGCTTTGAATGTAATGAAATGCCATTTTCTGGGTGAGCTCCAGAGGCTCCCTGGAGCTTATCGGGCTAATGTATGCTATATTAGACCGGGACATTAGCTAAGGAGTTGAGACCTACCAGCGCCAGAACCTGGCCCCTTCAGAGAGGTTACTGGGAAACCCCCCTTTGCGGTTGGGGTTTTCCTTATCTGCCATTAACTGGGGATAGGCACCCTGAAAGGTAGGCACCCTGAAAGGTAGGCATCACAAAACAAATACCACATGGTAAATAGGTACCTGGGCGTTAGTCAGCTGTCACGGGCTGCTTCCTGGGGGTGGAGGCCTGGTCGAGGACCGGGCCGCGGGAACACTAAAGCCCCGAAATCATCTCAAGATATCTCAAGATGGTAAAAAACTGGAACACAAAACCAAGCAGAGGTAAAAACTCCCTACAATCCCAAGGAAAAAAGCAAACAAGCAAACATCACACTTTACTGCCACGCCGATTGTCCGCGTTCCCTCCCGAGAGGGGGGGGGGGGGCCTGAACTTCACCGCGCCGGCTGCCTAGCATCAGTTCGGAAGCTAAGCTTCAACCAACGCGAAAAAAACGCCGACAGGGCTCACCCAGAAAATGGCATTTCATTACATTCAACGCTGGTTTTCTGTGGAGAGCCCCTACGGCTCCCTGGAGCTTCATACCCAAAGAGAAGGAAAAGAAAGGGCTGACACAGGAGGCGGCCACCACAAACTCCGCAACGCAAAGCTGTGACAACAGGCTGCAACCTGCGACCCAACACAAGAATGCACAGGAGCAGACATGCGCACAAAGAATGGGCAGCTAGGAACCTGTGCAACCCCCAAATCCACGCGTCCGAAATGAGCCCTAGACATCACCAACACGGCAGCGAAAGCTGAAATCGTCCGAATGGCATGGGCGCAAGGATAGACCGCAGGCTGGTAAATTTAAAAACTCTGCGAACGACCTGGGAGACCTGAGCCCTGAAACAAAGAACGAGGGGAACGGATCAACCTAAAGCGCATCCCCAGTCACAGTACGTGGGTAACAGCAAAGAGCCGCAACCGGACAATACATGACGCACCCCCGGCTGAACCAACCAATCATAAATAATCCAAGGATCCCTCCGGAAAGCAGCCGTCTCGACCGTCGCCAGAAGGACGGAGAAAGGCTGCAAACGTACAAACCTGCCACCAGTACCAAAAGAGCAGAAACCCCTGCACCGGAAGAGAGCCGGAAGCTCCCCAGCCCGACCCGCAGAGGCCCATGCCAACAAAATATGGCCTATGAAAAACAATCTTGAACCGAAGGGGCTACCACAAACTTAGGAGAAGAAGATAAGAGGGCATCCTGATCAAGGACCAGGACGGCTCAGGCGACGCATGAGCAGGCCAGAGGTGAAACAAAACACGAGAAAGCGTATGAAACGGGGCAGATGTGACGTCCATCACGAACGCAAGCCGGAGCGGCTCCGCCAGCGCCGCACGAAACAAGGTGACAGTAAGAAACATCAAATAACTGTAGTCCTGAAAACCCAAGAAAGGACAAGACAACCCGATGCAAAAGAGACGACAACCTACAAAGAGCAAGAAAATGACAAATCTAAACACCAGGAACGTCATACGGTCGCTGAGACGAAGCTTGCAGGTGGGACACCATCAACGAAACCACCTGATCACCATAGAGATGGTGATACACCATCTCTATGGACCATCTCTATGGTGTATCACCATACAGGGAAAAGGCCAAAACAGACCGAAAACCGAGAGACAAGGTGTGGGAACAAGCATATACATATAGGGGACAGCAAAAACCCTAGGGCCCAGACCCAAAGCCAGACAGAAAACAGAAAACCGGTCTAAAAACCAACACCCAAGCGTTCCCAGAGGAACAGAAGATGGGCAGAAAACACCAGAAAAGCAAAGAAACCCCTGAAAGAGGTGAAAAACTCACCCAGATGCTAGCTCGCACACCCAGGCGCATGTAAACAAACTGCAACACCGCCCTGGTGGCAACGCCGGGAAACTGGCAGAAGAAAATGGCCACCAGAAACAGGGGGGCCATGACCGACGCAATAGATACGAAAATACGCCAGAAAATGTGGGAAGCAAGCAGACTAGATGCACGAAAAATTCCGTCCAGAAGCAGAAAACCCAGGCAAGGGCAAACAGCCCCAGAACTGATAGCAGGCATCCCCCACAGCCCCAGGAACCGGAACAGAGGCCCCAGGGCAGAGCCCTCTTCCACGCCCTCTGCCCTTGAATTACACACTGCCCCCGAGACGAAGCACACAGATGGGAGACTAACAACGAAGCCACCAGCGCCCACACAAGAGACGAGAACTCGAGACAAAAAAAAAAAAAGACATACAGACAGTATGGTTTTCGATCTGGAAAATCCTGTGTATCGAATTTACTCAGTTTCTATGATCGAGCCACAGAGATTTTACAGGAAAGAGATGGTTGGGTTGCAGGCGATGAGTCACAATAACGTGGCTAAAGTATGTTGACCAGACCACACACTAGAAGGTAAAAGGACGACGACGTTTCTGTCCATCCTGGACCATTCTCAAGTCGATTGAGAATGGTCCAGGACGGACCGAAATGTCATCGTCCCTTCACCTTCTAGTGTGGTCTGGTCAACATGGTTGGGTTGACTGCATCTATCTGGACCTAAAAAAAAAGCTTTCGACAGAGTTCCATATATGAGGTTGTTCTGGAAACTGGAAAATATTGGAGAGGGTGGCAGGTAAGTTTCTAACATGGATGAAAAATTTTCTGACTGATAGAAAAATGAGGGCAGTAATCAGAAGCAATGTATCGGACTTGAAAAATGTCACAAGTGGAATACCACAGGGTTCAGTTCTTGCACCAGTGATGTTTATTGTCTACATTAATGATCTACCAGTTGGAATACAGAATTATATGAACATGTTTGCTGATGATGCTAAAATAATGGGAAGGATAAGAAACTTAAATGATTGTCATGCCCATCAAGATGACCTGGACAAAATAAGTACATGGAGCACCACTTGGCAAATGGAATTTAATGTTAATAAATGCCATGTTATGGAATGTGGAATAGGAGAACATAGACCCCACACAAACTATATATTACGTGAGAAATTTTTAAAGAATTCTGATGAAGAAAGAGATCTAGGGGTGGTTCTAGATAGAAAACTATCACCTGAGGACCACATAAAGAACGTTGTGCGAGGAGCCTATGCCACACTTTCTAACTTCAGAATTGCATTTAAATACATGGATGGCGATATACTAAAGAAATTGTTCATGACTTTTGTTAGGCCAAAGCTAGAATATGCAGCTGCTGTATGGTGCCCATATCTTAAGAAGCACATCAACGAACTGGAAAAGGTGCAAAGACATGCCACTAAGTGGCTCCCAGAACTGAAGGACAAGAGCTACGAGGAGAGGTTAGAGGCATTAAATATGCCAAAAGTAGAAGATAGAAGAAAAAAGAGGTGATATGATCACTACGTATAAAATAGTAACAGGAATTGATAAAATCGACAGGGAAGATTTCCTGAGACCTGGAACTTCAAGAACAAGAGGTCATAGATTTAAACTAGCTAAACACAGATGCCGAAGAAATATAAGAAAATTCACCTTCGCAAATAGAGTGGTAGACGGTTGGAACAAGTTAAGTGAGAAGGTGGTGGAGGCCAAGACCGTCAGTAGTTTCAAAGCGTTATATGACAAAGAGTGCTGGGAAGACGGGACACCACGAGCGTAGCTCTCATCCTGTAACTACACTTAGGTAACTACACTTAGGTAATTACACACACACACACACACACACACACACACACACACACACACACACACACACACACACACACACACACACTCATCCCAGTAAGTAAAATGAGATAGATATATAATGTCAAAACACTTATCAAACATCTCTAGGTTATATATAATAAACAGAACACAAACCTCTTCCAGACTGAACAATACTCCACCAATGGGAGCCCCAAAAGCAACAGACACGCCGACTGCTGCAGCGGCAGAGAGAATTTCACGTTTCTTTGCTTCGTTTTTCCCGTATTTTGGGAAAAGATAAGACAGTATGTTTCCTGGAAGAAAATTCCTTCATTAAGCTATTTAAAGAATAACAATACCTGTGAATGTAATGAAACACCATTTTCTGGGTGAGACCCGGAGGCTCCCCGGAGCTTACTAGGCTGATATGCTAATGTCAGACTTTGGCATCAGTCATGTGTATGGAGTTCTTATGGGCCTACCGGGGATGACGAGCCAGAACCTGGCCCCCTCAGAGAGGCATGGGGAGCAATGGCCTATAGAAACCCCCGTGTGGTTAGAAGCATTCTATGTCTGCCAATGACCGGGTCAGGCACCCAGAAAGGTGGGCATCCTAAAACAAACTCCTATTCTGGTGAAATTATTGCTACCAAAAGCCGAACAAGTGAATAGAACTCCCCTAAAAGAAACATGCAAATGATCATGACGTCACATGTCGCCGCGCAGCTGTCTGCGGGGTAGGGGGAAGGGGAAGCCCCAGACCCCTCACGCCAGCTATCCACCCGTCAGTTCTGAGGCTGGATGTCAAAACAAGAAAAAAAAACGCCGACCGGGGGGAGGGAGGGAGGGAGGGATGCCGGGGAGCCCCGGGTCTCACCCAGAAAATGGCGTTTCATTACATTCAACGCTGGTTTTCTGGGGGGAGCCCCGTCGGTTCCCCAGAGCTAACTACCCACAGAGGAAAAACTTAGGGACATACCCAGGAAGCGGTCATTGCACGCTCCACAACTCGAAGGCGAGACAACTGGCTGCAACCGCCGACCCAAAACGACACAGGCCCGACTAGGCTCAGGGACGTGCACGAGGTAACGAGCAGCCAGGACCCTGTTCGACTGCCAAAAGCCCCGTGCTCGAATGTCAGCCCAGGACATGGTGCCAAAGATGGCAGCAAGAGCAGCGAACTTACAAACGTCATAGGCACTGGGATAGACCACAATCTGGCTAGCCTGAAAAACTCTGTGGACGACCTGGGAGAACCACACCCGCGAACAGGGAAGAAGGGAAACCGGATTAACCCAAAGCGCATCCCAGGACACAGAATGCATGGCGCGCAATAACGGCGAAGAGCCGCCACTGGCCACAACATGATGCACCCCCAGACCAATCAACCAAGCATCAACAACCCAGGCACCCCTCCGGAAAGCAGCAGTCCCATTCTTTGCCAGAAAAAAAGGAGACGGCTGCAGACGAACAAAACCAACACGAAGACCGAAAGAGCAGAAACCCCTGTGCTGGAGAAGAGCAAGAAGCTCCCCGACTCGACCCCTAGAGGCCAGCGCCAACAGAAAAGGAGCCCTGGAGAACAATCCTGAACCGAAGGGCCACAACAAACCGAGGAAAAAGAAAGAAAAGAGCACTCTGTCCAATGACCAGGACGGTTCAGGCGGTGCAAGAGCAGGCCAGAGGTGAAACAATGCATGAGACAGCTTGCGAAACGGTGCAGAAGTAACATCAATACCGAAAGCAAGCTGAAGCGGCTCCGTCAGCGCCACACGATACGAGGCGACAGTATGGGGCAAGATGACAGCCCCAAACCTCTATAAGAGAAGGACAAGACCATGCCAACAAACACAGCTACCGAAGAAGGGACAGAAGAAAAGGAAGGACTGCCAAAAATAATCACACTGCTGCCAAGAAGAAGCACACAGGTGGGACACCATCAACGAAGCCACCCGACCACCAACAGAAGGTGAAAGACTCGAGGCAGAACCGAACTGGCCCTGCCATGGGCCAATTGAGCCTAGGAAGAGGCAGAGCCGCAGGAAGATCTCGGATGCGACCACGGAGCCAGCAGAGCCGGAAACCCAAGTCGGCAAAGGAGGAGATGGAACGTCCGCCGTACAGAAAAATATCCCAACGCCGGCGAGCCCGCCAGGAGATCAGAGACGACAGTCCCGATGCACGATTCTAGAGAATGGGGAAACCGAGAGATCGTGAAAACGCCAACAGGCCGGGTAAGCCAGAAAACCAGGAACCCAAACCTGGCAATAGGAGAGCCAAAAGGCACAAACAAAAAACACAACCATGTGTAGGATAAAAGGAGAAAACGGAAAAACACAAGAAAAGACCAGAAGAAAAAGCCCCAGCACCAATGGCCAGAGACAAGAGCATAGAAGGAAGATGAGGAACGAAGAAGGCAAGTAGCAAAACGGGAATGAAAGGGACACGACCAACAACACACAGAGCCACTCGTCACGTCCCAACAAACCACACCAACAACACAGTTGGGTGACACACCCCAACACAAGACGAAAAGGAAAAAAGGTGCAAAGGTACGCCACCAGACCAGTACCCGAACCAAGGAGTATGAGCCACGAGGATATGATCACCATATGTAAGATTCCTAAAGGAAGTGATAAGGTAGAGAAAGACCGACTACGGGACCCCAAGGGAACACGCACCAGGGGACACCAGTGGAATGAGAGCCCAAACAAGCCAAAGAGACATGGGAAAGAAGGAGTGCAGTGTCAGAGGAGTAGACAAGCGAAACACAAGAGGAAGCGACGTGGTGGAGGATGACACCATACACAGCTTCAAGCGCAGATAACATAGAGCCCAGCAGGTTCATGAACCTGCACATGAGCGAATGACAGGTGAGAAGCGGGACCAAAAAGCCAGAGCTCAACTCCCGCAAACACAACTAGGGAAGGACAACTAGGTAAATACCATACAGAGAATCCAATGTATATGGAAGGGCTAAGCCAGGCACTGCAAGACGTGCAAGGAATGAGTGACCCAGAGAAAACCACGAAAAACGGGGCCGTGACCCCCCTTGCAACCATTAACCCAGATGAACAAGGCAGGCCCCAGAAAGAAGCACGGAAGGGCCAAAAAAAAAACCACAACCAATCCCCAAAATACATCCACAGCACGAAAACTGCAGCAAAATGTCACCTCAGAGCATCCAGACAGGAACACTTACCCCATAACATATACCCCAACCATTGTACCCCATAACCTGGTGGAGGTGGGGCCCCTATCCGGACTCAAGCATGGGCTGGACATGCATAAGAGTGGGACTGGATGGGTAAAAATAGGAGCTGCCTCATATAGCCCAATAGGCCTGCTGCAATCACCTGTGCTCTGATGTTCATATATCCGTATCCAAAAACACCAACCAGTGCCTGGTCGAAGGAGAAGCCAGACCGCATAAACTCACCTGCAGAATGTAGGCATGAACGTGTCATGACACAACGTAGCCGAGAGGATTCCGGGAGTACCACCAGTGGAAGAAGGCAGAGCCGCACTTGCAGGAGAAGAATAAGGGAGAGGCGAAGGAGGAGCTCCACACCCATACGCAGGGAAAACCCAGCGTCCTCTCCATATCGGCAATCCAGAAAACCCCCAGGAGCTACGGGGCACGGACTGGAGAATTAAGAAGAGCGAGAGGTTAAGCACCCGAGAGAAAAAAGGATGCAACCCCCAACTCACGTGCACATCGTCCGCATCAAAACAACCACGGCGCATGTGCAGCAGGGATGCCAGACGTGGGTCACCAGAAGTCACGGGCTGAGGAAAGAAACCATGAATGTGACGAGAAAAAAAAAAAGAGACAAAATAGTGTTGTTAACGACCGAATCCGACATGAGAGTATACAGGGTAGTGGCCAACCGTAGTCGAAAAGAGCAGGAAGGAGCTGTGCTAAGAAACTTAGCACAGCTTCCCATTTGGGCTACAAAGAGCCCAACCAGGCTACAAGGAGCCCAATCTGGCAACCCTGTGCAGCGCATGACAGTGCATGGAGAGAGAGAGAGACAAACATGAAAGAACAAAACAGGACCAAAAACCGAGAAGCATGGAGAAGGACCAACAAGCCTCAGAAAGGACCGGAAGACAACAGACGTTCCAAGAATAGGGAAGAATCAAAACCTTCCCGATCCTTCTAGAACAAAGAAGCAAGCATGAAGCACGAAGACACAGAAAACAAGTTGCAACATAACTGTGGAACATGACTGTTCCCCCTCAGAGAGGCACGAGGCAACGGATAAAAATGCAAAGAAAACCTGAGAGCTAGAGCCCAAGCGGATTCCAAGGAGAGAACAAACACAGTCTGTCGGCACGTAAGGCAAGAAGCAAAGAACAGAAACCGCCTGCTTGAGAATTGGCACAAACAACTTCGACGAAGTAGCCACCGCCCTAGCCGCCGAGGAAAGCGCACCAGATGAAGACCCGGTACCCAACGTCTCTACATCCTCCTCAAGCCAGTACGAGGACATATCAAGAATGGAAAAGAAACATAAGACCGAGGCCAAATGCCCTTGGGCATGCAATCCTCAGTTACCAAGGAAGCCGAAAGGGAGGGAACTTACACGTGCAGCTGCACAATGCCAACATCCCAAGGAAGCACAGGGGCGAACAAGCATATGTTAAGGCACTCAAACTCGGTCCCCAGGTAAACCACAGTGAAAGTCTCCTGCCAATCAAGTGTGCAGTTCCGACTAAACCCATGCCACACACCCAATGAGAAAAAAGGACAGTCTGTCAACCAGGAAGACTCCGGTACCTCGTAACGCACCCAAAAGGGAAAGGTCAAACTGAACTCAATGAAAGACGGATCTATCACCGAGGGGTAATCCGGGTCGCGCAGGAGGTAAGCCGCTATAGCCTCCCGAACCTCCTTAGGTGTGATTCGAGAAGCTGAAAACCTCTAGAAGGAAGGAACCTAAGAACCCAGGGGGAACCCGGAACCGAACCTGGGGGTGGAGCTGAACCCAAATCATACTCATACAGGGAAGGGGGGGGGGATAAGAAAACCCATCCCCTTGCAACAACAAACCCCACTGCGAGGGTACCAACACCCAAGCAGGGTCAGCCCCCCCCCCACCCAAGTCAACTCCTCCCCAGCCCCAGGACCTGGGGCAGAGCTGTCCTCCACACCCTCTGCCCTACAGAAAAGGCAGAGTCCTGGGGAAAGGCCGAGAAGAAGGGGGTCCGCTGGGAAGACCCAGAAGCCTTGGTGGGAGGAGCAGGTTTGAATGCCTTCATCGCCAACCTGGATGAAGCAGACCCCAAAGCCGCCTGAGTGTCACTTCCAGCTAAGCCCAGCCCTGACTCCGAAATCCCTTAGACGTTTGGGAGCCGAGAGCCTTCAGCACAAACAACAAAAACCAGGAGCGGACTAGGGAGCGTGAACGAAACCAAAGTCGAAGCGACTAACACCCCCATGTCCGGGTCCCTAAAACCCAAGCGGGGCAGCCTCGGGGCATCCAGGTGAGCAACCAATCGAGCGTACTGCAGCAATTGATATCGAGCATGCAACGGCGAAGCCGCCTTTACCCAAACATCAATATCAGTAGAATGAGTAAACTGGAGTACTAGCAAGGAACTAGACTCACAAGACTCTGGGTCAAAAGTGTCATTGACCCAGAAGGCAGCATGAGGGAGGCAAAATTGGTGAGTGTCACCCTGAGACAAGGGGACAGAGCAACCATCAAACTTGCACTCAGTGAGTTAGAACCCAGCGGACACATCCATAGGTCCAAAGAGCCTCAATGGGGTTTTCCTGGGGTCCTTAGGCTGATTGCTAAGGGAAGCCCAGGCAAGGTACTGCTAACCAGTTGGCCCAAACTACCAAGAGAACTGCTAAAAACCAGAACCCTTGTGATGTGTACAAGTACAGGGGCCTAGTGGAGGACCCCAATATAACAGAAGGTGGAAAACCAAGGGGGCAGACCCCCACCAGACAAATTACAGAAAAAGAAAACCCTGCAAAAGCACATCCCCAGTAGGAACAGAACCGACCGCTGTGTATAATGGGAGATAAGCTGCGCAATACCTTGCACCCCTACCAGCAATGATACCACTTCCTACCCAAGGCCAAGCAGTGGCTACAAAAAAAAAAAAAAAAAAAAAATCAGCTGGCCCCAAGGGCAGGCAATTGCAGAGCATCAACAGACCCCTATGGAAGCAGTTCCGGAATGCCCTGTGGAAGGGAACCTCAAGATACAAGGGCAGTACTTACAGAGCACCTAGGAAAGGCGGCCCTAAGCGCATGCAGCCCCAGTACTGATCAGTAACTCCTGGCCTGTGCATCACACACTGCAGAAATACACCACAAGGGACAGAACTGCAGAGTCAGAGGGTCAGAGTCTACAACCGCCACAGTCCACATCAGCTGAAGAACTGATAGCTGATGCTGCCGGCCACAGGGGAATTGGGGTGGGTGGATGGGTTGAGCGGACGATAGACGTTTGAGACGTTTGCTTGTTAGCTTGTTTTTGTTTGGGAATTCTGCCTACCAGATCAGCTTTTACCATGTGGGGCTTGTTTTGTTATGCCTCCCTTTCTGGGTGCCAAACCCCAGTCGATGGCAGACATGGAATGCTTCCAAATACACGGGGGGTTTCCACAGAACATTGCTCCTCATGCCTCTCTGAGGGGGCCAGGTCCTGGTTCATGGTCCCCAGCAGGCAAAAACTCCATCGACTGATGCCACAGTCTAACACATTCATATCAGCCCAGTAAGCTCCAGGGAGCCATAGGGGCTCTCCACAGAAAAGCTAACCAAATCCTGGGAATAATCAAGCGTACTTTTACCTTCAAGGAAAAGAAAGTAGTCGTTCAATTGTATAAATCTCTGGTGAGCCCCCACCTGGATTATTGCATCCAGGCATGGAGACCTCATCTTCAGAAAGACATAGCTGCTCTGGAGAAGATGTAACACTGGACAACAAAAATTATACCAGAGCTTAGTCATCTCATGTATCAGGAACAGTTGAGTGCCTCAAGGCTAACAATACTGCAAACAAGGCATGACAGTGTGGATCTCATCGAAACTTTTAAAATACTGTACAATTTGGAGGATGTCAATCTGGCAGCCCGTACTCCAAAAATGGGGAGGTAAATGTAACAGCACAAGTAAGTGCAATTACGTATTATTCATAGCAGACAGGAATTGTACTTATTTTCACTTAGTATTAAACTGCACTGTCAAATATATTGTGAATATTTGAGTTTACCTGAAAAGCTTAATAGAAAACCACAACCTAACCTAACCTTCTTAGTGTTTGAAGATAAGCATTTTATTGTTTCTTAATTACAATTAGTACTTAACCTATAGCTATAGTGATATTACAATTTTATAAAACCAATAAAACAAAACTTAAATATATCAATAAATTGTAAAGTAACTCAGGAGATTTTCAAATTTTGTGTAAAATCTCTATTGTTTAATAAAACTGAAAAAGAAATTCCTGATATTTAAAACTTGTGTACTGTATAGCGAATTGAACCTGAAAACTTCTTCCTAAAATTCTGAGTGTCTTAACAGAAAACGAGGAGAATAAATGGGGGAGGTAAATGTAACAGCCTCATAAGTGCAATTATGTACTATGCATGACAGTAAGGAAATGTACTTATAACACTTAGTATTAAACCGTACTGTCAATTCGGAGGATGGGTTGCAATCCGGACAATTTCTTCAAAAGGTCAGATGTGACACAAATGAAGAGTAACGGGTTCAAGCTCAACAAGCCACAATGTAAGACAGAAAACAGGAGATGCTTTTTCACCTATTAGGTTGTAAATCCATGGAACTACCTTCCCGATTAACCCGAAAATGCCTAAACTTTGCTGTGTTTTAAAATTTAGCTGGAAAAGATCATCAGGGCAAATGGGGGAACATTTGACAAGCTGCCGGCTTCCTCTCCTCATCGAGGCCACTAGTATTAGTGGCCCTCAGGTAAATTTAGGTTATCCTCTCTGGGCACTGGGCTTATGCTCTCCAGGCATGGTGCTTATCCTCTCTGAGGTTGGTGCTAATTCTTTCAAGCCATGGGATTCATTTCCCTCCAGAGACGAGGCTTCTCCAGACATGGGGGGGCTTATCCCCTCCAGGTAATGTACTAGGATAAGTTTTGTGCTTTGATTAATTCCTTAACACATTATTCTAATATTATTTGTGTCCAGTCAATACAATAACATAAGATAATAATTCCCATTTTCAGGAACAGGAAGCCTGTACTTAAGACTTCTATTGCAGCTCCCCCCCCCTCCCCCCTCCCCTTAGGTCAAACTACTGACCATCCACAATATCCAACTCAAAACAGTTCTATCTTGAGATCTATCTTGAGATGATTTCTGGGCTTCGCGTCCCCGCGGCCCGGTCCTCGTCCAGGCTTCCTTTTTGTTACACCCCCCCCCCCATCATGAAGCAGCCAGTAGCAGCTGTCTAGCTCCCAGGTACCTATTTACTGCTAGGTAACAGGGGCATCAGGGTGAAAGAAACATTTTGCCCATTTGTCTCTGCCTCCTCCAGGGATCGAACCCGGAACCTTAGGACTACGAATCCAAAGCGCTGTTCACCCAGCTGTCAGGCGCCCTTTGGTTCAGTTGCCTGAACTCCTAGGGTACTAATTTATTGCATCAAGTGAAAGGAAATGTGTCCGAACATTTCTGTCCCACCTGGTGATCCATCCCAGGATCCCCAACTGTGAATTGAGAATGTAGAGTCCCGTACTACAAGACTTGTCTCTCTTATTGAAGGTGAATTTGCTGAAATCACCTTCATGATGATTTCTGAACTGGGCTGCACAGATATGTTATCTCTGCAACTCTTTAGAATTTAAATAGGCTGTACCCTTAGTAAGGTCTATATGAAGTTATTATATATTACTCATTTGTAATCAATCAAATGAAGTATTCTACTAACCAGGAAAGAAACATCATCTCTCGGCTTGAGATTTAGCAGACAGTACAGCCTGTGTGTACAATGGACAATGGTGGAGGTGCTTGTGTCCAAGTCCCCCAGATGGGGGGGGGTGAGAAAGGGTCACACCCAGCAGGTGTTGCATGCAGGGAAAACCCTTATAATTAGCAAAGTTAGTTGCACAATCATATGTCAACAGTCATCTGTAAATTTTGTTGCCGAGGTCTAGGAATAAGTGACCATGCACAATCCCCCCACCAGCATGGCATCTGATCATGATGACATATTACACCATGTAGACAGAGAAAACTTACCAATGCAACAGGCCACATGCACCAGGGGGCCCTCTTTCCCCAGTGAGAGGCCGGCAGAAACAGCAAGTATCATGCCTAATGACTTGATCAGTAGTGTCCATTTGCCAAGGTACCCCCGAATGATAAATCCACTCAGAATGGTCTTTATCTGTAAACAGAAAGAAAGAATTGTTGAAATATTGCCATATTTCATACAATGTTTTACCATAGTATACTTAAACTTAAAGAAACGTCTAATTTCCTCATTATCGTTACTATGCTTAAATATCACATGTTTCACGAGACAACAGAAAGAGGAGAAAGAGGGCATCTTCATATCACAGGGGAGGTAGCGGTATACATGGCACATACAAGGAAGGAGCAATCCATGACATAGAGGAGGGCATCCATGGCACAGAAGACAGAGGGGGGAGGGAGCATCCACAGAACAGGAGGGAGGGGGGCATCCATGGCACAGAAGACAGAGGGGGGAGGGAGCATCCACAGAACAGGAGGGAGGGGGGCATCCATGGCACAGAGGAGGGGGGCATCCATGGCACAGAGGAGGGAGGGAGCATCCATGGCACAGAGGAGAGAGAGAGCATCCATGACACAGAGGAGGGAGGGAGCATCCATGGCACAGAGGAGAGAGAGAGCATCCACAGAACAGAGGGAGGGAGGGGGACATCCATGGCACAGAGGAGGGAGGGGGACATCCATGGCACAGAGGAGGGAGGGGGGGCATCCATGGCACAGAGGAGGGAGGGGGACATCCATGGCACAGAGGAGGGAGGGGGACATCCATGGCACAGAGGAGGGAGGGGGACATCCATGGCACAGAGGAGGGAGGGGGGACATCCATGGCACAGAGGAGGGAGGGGGACATCCATGGCACAGAGGAGGGAGGGGGACATCCATGGCACAGAGGAGGGAGGGGGACATCCATGGCACAGTAGAGAAGGGAAGGGCCAAAGGCACGCAAGATGTTCACTCACCTCTGGTATCCCTGAGCCACAAGCATATGGAGCAAACATCATGACTAGAGATGCAGCCAAAGAGGCAAATAACAATGACCACATTATGTAGAAGATGTAGGAGATGATGTACGCTCCCGCGCCATCTGGAGCATGACCAAACACCTCAGGCCAGGAAAACCACTGAAAAAGACAGTTTATCCTCATTATATTCTGTACTGGAAGTGATATCTTAACAGGTCATCCTGCCATTTGGAAGGGTGGGAGGGGGGAGGGTAGCAGAAATGGTAGCAGAAATGGTAACTGGGATTATATAATCAAAGAACTTACCAAGTGTGAAATACTGTATACAAAAAAAACTTGGTATCTATTACTTCACACAAGTAGCATATTGCCCCTCTACTGTTGTTTGGTGGGCAGAAGGAATGCTTCACAATATTTTCCTCCAGCAGCTCAGATGTGTTAACAGGTTGTGCATGTACATTATTCTCCTGCTTTAAGGAAAACATACCCAAGAGGTGCTTACGGGTTCTTTAGGAGAATTTCTGACTCCAGATGTGGGTCCCTGAACCCCTGATGCTTTTTCCAGGTGAGTTTCCTGGATCCCTGGTTCTTTTTTTGGGCCCTTGGATATATGCCTTGACTTCCCTGTGAGAACCCTTGATTCAAGAGTGCATCCTTGAAGCTAGTTTCCTGGTTCTATTGTGTTATGTCTTGGCTTCCCAGTTCCATCCCTTAGGTTCTATTGGGTTCCATGCATTTCTTACCCAGGCCACTCGAGACATTCCCACTGCTCTAGCCACTTCCAGCCTGGGACCTGTTGGGACCCACCTGCAGATGACTGGTAACAGATCCCTGCCGCCTATGATGGTATATGGCAGTGCGTAGGAACACCAGCTTCAGTACAGACAACATACAAATTTCTTACACGTCCTATTATTCAACAGCTGCTCTCTCAAAATTTACATTTTAGTTTTAAAGGCTTGGTTGGTGGTTATATTTTAGCAAAGTGTCATGGTATATATAAATAGGGCTTCTTTTATATTACCAATAATATACCAGGATGTTTAAGAAATCATTGGTGACTTGGAGCACTTTGGGTGAGTTTCCAAAATATTAAACATGACGTGGAACTTAGCTAGTGAGATTTAAGATGAAAGTATAGTGGTGTGGTAACTCAAAGAATGTTGATGCCTAAAATATGAGAATAGTTGGATAAAAGATGAGCAAATTGCCCAAAAGTAATGAGCATGATCCAGTAGCATTTTTTAAGAGATTTGTGCAACCCCCAAAAAATCTTGAGTAGGCCTAGTAGGGTGTCATGTATCCCAATGAGTATTGTCATGGCAAAGGGAGTTTACACCTTGTTGAAGTAGGTAACAAGAGTATTTTACTAGCTGAATCAGACCTTGGTCCTGTTGTTGTTATGGGAGGGTTGAGGGCTGGGAAGCTCCAGTGTTTTTTACATTTGGGAGAAATAAACCAGCAATATCACAGCAAAAATCTGCAAAATAGGGAATGAATATTTGGCAAACAAACACCAAAAAATCAGCGTTAAATGTAATGAAATGCCATTTTCTGGGTGAGCCCCTTCGGCTCCCTGAAACTATCCAAACTGACAGGTGCCATATTAGTTTGGTATCATCAGTCCCGGGAGTTCTAGTGCCTACCTGGGACCACGAGCCAGAACCTGGCCCCCTTAGACAGCCGCAGGGAGAAAATGGCCATACGAGCACTCTACATTTAGAGAATGTTGTTTCTGCCATCAACTGGGGTATACCCCCAGAAAGGTAGGCATAAAAATATAATCTCCAACTGCTGAAAATTGTAACCTACATCCGAACAGAGCCAAAGAACTCCTCCAAAAAGAAAACAATGAAACAAAGAAAACAAAGCAAATCATCATCTAACTAGTGTGCCCAGTCATTAGCACCCTCCCCCCCCCAACAGGGAGGATACCTGCTTGATCCCTCCCCCGGGAACCCTGCTCCCCAGGAATCCCTGCTCGCCTGAGTGTAGCCCCCATCATTCGAGGCAGCTCCACCCCCTCAATTCGTAGAATGATGAAAACTACCAACCAGAGGAAGGGTGAGTGTCAGGGAGCCTCCTGGGCTCACCCAGAAAATGGAATTTCATTATATTCAACGCTGGTTTTCTGGGGGGACCCCCATTGGCTCCCTGAAGCTAAATACCAACAGTAAAGTAAAAATAGGGACTTAACCAGGAAGTGGCAGCACCGCGGGTCTCAAGACGAATATGAGACAACAGGCCGCAACAGACATCCCAAAGAAACACAAAGGCCGGAGATGGCCTGGGACAGTCACAAGATACCTGGCGGCCAAGACCCTGTTTGACCTCCAAAGCCCCCCCCAAGCCCAAATGTCGACCCAAGACATAGTACCAAAAACAGCAGCCAGAGGAGCAGCAGAAGCAACATACATATCTATCTGAACCTAAAAAAGGCTTTTGACAGTTCAACTTAAGAGGTTGTTCTGGAAACTGAAACATGTTAGAGGGGTGACAGGTAAGCTTCTAACATGGATGAAAAATTTTCTAACTGATAGAAAAAAAGAGGGCAGTAATCAGAGGCAATGTATCGGACTAGAGAAATGTCACGAGTGGAGTACCACAGGGTTCAGTTCTTGCACCAGTAATGTTCATTGTCTATATAAATGATTTGCCAGATGAAATACAGAATTATATGAACATGTTTGCTGATGATGTTAAGAAAATAAGACGGATAAGACACTTAGATGATTATAATGCCCTTCAAGAAGACCTGGACAAAATAAGTATATGGAGCACCACTTGGCAAATGGAATTTAATGTAACTAAATGCCATGTTAGTGGAATAGGAGAACATAGACCCCACACAACCTATAAATTATGTGGGAAATCTTTAAAGACTTGACTTTTCAACACTCTCGCTCTACACATAAGGGGCATAACTGTCTGCCCTCTCACAATGTTCAGAGGAAAACTTGATAAACACCTTCAAAGGATATCTGATCAACTAGGCTGTTAATCATACATCAGGTTGCGAGTGTTGAAGAGCCTGGTTGACTAGATCACCAACTAAGAGGCCTGGTCAGAGACTGGGCATCAGGGACATTGATCCTTGGAATCATCGACAGGTATGTGACAGGTACATGGTAAGATGTGACACTCCTCTGCTGTACCTGAACACATTCTCATTGACAATGATCAGAGATGGCAACTTGGAATAAGGCTAGGATGGTATCAGAGGCACTTGGAATGTAGGGATATTGTCACCTCTTATTCTGTGGTGCAGGCAAAGCCACTACTGATTGAGGTTGGCATCAATACTGTACTTCCTATGTGCCTTTTTGAAAGCTGCCTCATGCACTGTTTAACCTCTGGTGCACTCATTGAGGGCTCTGGTGGCGCACTCAATGCGCCACCAAAGTCCTCTTGGTCCTTCGACCATGCCCTCACTTTTTTTCTTCTCCACAGTTTATAATGTCCATTTCAGTCCAGGATTCTTTTTCTAGGACTATTTTCTTGTTGGCACTTGCCTTGGTTGTAGAGTCAGGGAGCTTCAGGATCTTCTTTGAAGGCATGCATTTTGTTCTCTCAGCCCTGGTAGGCATTATATTCATCTGCAACTTTTTTTAACCCTCAAACCGCGCATATCATATATAAATGATATCAGTGACAAAACCGAAACCGCGCACATCATTTATATATGATTTCGTGTCTAGCGCTATAATTTAAACTCCCCGCCTGGGATAGGGGCAGCTATAGTACAGCCACGACCGATAGTTGCCAGATGCCACCTAGAAAAAAAATCCAGGCCAACATTCTTGGGTGTTACAGCGTCAGTATTGAGCGAGCCACCAAGGCTGGCGCACGCAGCACGAGCTCACAGCACCGCTGTTCAGCTTGTGACCACAGCATCGCCTACAAATACCATAATATATATGATACTGCTACTATTTAGCAGTGATAGTATTACTGAAGCCCCCTGACTGTGATAAAACTGACCAGGATTCTGATAATAGCAGGATTGTGGTGATATTTAGCGCTGTGCTCCATGGAGGGAGGCGTAAGGCTGTGCGAGGGAGGGTTGTGGCGTCGTCTTCTGACTGTGTGTGGCCACCATTTATTGACTGCACTCACCATACCAGCTTAGTGGTTCGATATGGTGAACACAAATGTAGATACTTATATATAACGTGTGTATAGAGTGTGATAACAGCGAGAGGAGTAGGTTGGGAGCCGCCATTTTGGTGAGGGAAGAGCGTCGTCTGCACGTCTTGGCATGGTGTTTACTGATGGCCACTATGGTCTTTGGGCACCATACCAGCTTATTTGTTCAGGTATGGTGAATAAAACAGGTAGATACTTATATATAATGTGTGTATATAGCGTAATAACACCACAAACAATATTGTTGAAGGACAAATATTAGTGCGTCTGGCCTTGAGGGCGGCCGCCGATCAGCTGACTGTGTGAGTAGCTACGTCTTTGTGGCCTTTACTCACCATACAAGCTTAGATGTACAGTTATGGTGAACAAAACATGTAAATACGCATATATAACGTCTGTGTATAGTGAATAAATACAGAAAGAGTATTGTAGGAGGTGAATGAGGGTGAGTGAGATGGTGTTGAGGGAGGGAGTGGGAGGGAGTGGCAGTGAGTGGCTCGCTGGTGTTTGGCGGTCACTCCTCGTTGCTTTTTGACTCACAAGACCAACTTAGTAGTTCGTTATGGTGTACAAAACATGCAGATACTTATATATAACCTGTGTATATAGTGTAACAACAGCAAAACTATTTGTTTATTGTTTTATGAACATAATAATTGAATCACTAATATGCACACCATAATTTTGAGTACAGCGATGGTTCACACATTTTATAATATAAATATACCACAATTCACTGTATGGAATAATATTACTGCAAAAAAACTAAGAAAAAATCAATCAGAGACATTGAAATAATTAGGTAATAATATATTTGTGGCAACTGCCGTCTGACAGCTCGGGCGGAGTAGACCTCATCTGGCGAAGGCTCTGCCAACGCCCCTTTTTTGCCACACTTCCCTACCCTATTGCGGCTAAAATATGCCACCTACGATTTTTTTGTTATTTTTTCCGTGATCAGGGAACAAAAATGAACACTTCTATAAGACGAAAGAATTTTTTGGATTTTTTTTTTTTGTTGCGCCTGTGGGTGTGAATTCCATTTGGGCCCCTAGCGGTTTGAGGGTTAAATATCAGTGCTCTCTAGAATGGAATATTGTTGCACACTTACAGCTCCATTCAAAGTTGGAGAAATTGCTGACCTTTAGAGGGTGCAAAAATCTTTTACCGCTAGAATCCACTCAATAAAACTTTTAAATTATTAGGACCACCTAAAAAATTTTAATCTATATTCCCTAGAGTGCAGGCAGGAGAGATACATAATCATTTACACTTGGAAAATATTCAGACTGATTCCAAATCTACACACAGAAATAACACCATGTAAGACCAGAAGGCATGACAGGATGTGTAAAACAACCCCCACTGAAAAGCAGAGGATAGTAATGCTGAGAGAAAACTCAATCAACATCAAAGGCTCAAGACTTTTCAACACTATTTTCATACACAGGCACTGGTCCCTGAAATCGTCAACAGGTAGGCATCTCCTTTTTCTGGCGAAGAACGAGTTGCAGGCTTCCTAAGGATCTTTTGATTGCCTATACAGTGCATCCTCACTCTAACGAACCACGCTCTATCAAATTCCTGGATGACCCGAACAAATTGAATTCCGTACTAAATGTTCAGTGTAACATACGAATGTTCAATTAAGTGAGGATTGTTCGTCCAAGCGATCACCGAGACCAAGTAGTCATAGTTGATGACAGTGGCTGTCATCAACTATGATTCACCAAAGTGTAAACAGTTGTACAGTATTATATTTTGCTTACCCATTGTTTCCAGTGAGAAATGGTTCAAGGATAATAAAATGGTGTCAGGGGGAGGCATGTTGCGTCATTGGTGGGGGTTGGAGTCTGGGGGCAAGTGGTATCAGTAGTTGGGGTTTAGTGTCAGGAGGCAGTTGGTGCAAGTTATTCTCATTGGAGGTTGTCAGAAAAAAATTGTTGTCAGTGGTGGAAGGTGTTGCCAGGGGAGGCAGGTGTTGTCAGTGGTGGAAGTTGTTGCCAGGAGAGGCAGGTGTTGTCAGTGGTGGAAGGTGTTGCCAGGAGAGGCAGGTGGTGACAGTGGTGGAAGGTGTTGCCAGGAGAGGCAGGTGGTGACAGTGGTGGAAGGTGTTGCCAGGGGAGGCAGGTGGTGACAGTGGTGGAAGGTGTTGCCAGGAGAGGCAGGTGGTGACAGTGGTGGAAGGTGTTGCCAGGAGAGGCAGGTGGTGACAGTGGTGGAAGGTGTTGCCAGGAGAGGCAGGTGGTGACAGTGGTGGAAGGTGTTGCCAGAAGAGGCAGGTGGTGACAGTGGTGGAAGGTGTTGCCAGGAGAGGCAGGTGGTGACAGTGGTGGAAGGTGTTGCCAGGAGAGGCAGGTGTTGTCAGTGGTGGAAGGTGTTGCCAGGGGAGGCAGGTGGTGTCAGTGGTGAGCTCTGGTTATCAGCTAATTGGTAACACATGGCTGGAGCCTCGATGCTTCACACACTGTCTGCGTTTCACCAAATTAGCTGAGAAAATTTTACCCTATCAGTTGTTTGTAACACATCGCTCTATCATATTCCACGAAGAATTCATAATAAATGGTGGTGAAGGGATGTATTTGGAGAGGAGGGGGGGGTGGAACGAATTCTGCGGTGAAACGAATTGGCCTCGCCCCATGTAGTTCTTTCAAGTGAGAACACACTGTACTTTGTTTATCTGACTAGGGGTGCATCGTGCGCTGTTTCTGGTCACAGTCCTCCGCAGCTTCCTTAGTGCCAGTAATTCTAATCAATGGATGCTTAGTGGGTTGATCCTGTCTCCTTGGTTACCTGTTCCAAGGCTTCCATTTCTCAGATATTCTACAGTGTTATCAAGTCTAGCCGCCATGCATTCTACCTTCATGCCCATGATGTTCATAAATATACTCATGTTGCAGTGTTTTCTGCTAATATGTCTTGGGCTGATATTCAGGCACAGGGGTTTCAGTAGTACAAAAGAGTTCTGGTAACCTGTATTTGGTTAATGTTCCCGGGCCTCATCATGCCTGTCACCTTGGGTTTTGTCTATTGGCCAGGTCTTTGATCCTCTTCCTAACTGCCTGTGATTTTTTTCTTGTTCATCTAGTTTGTCTCATGCTTCTCTGTGGATAGTGAGCTTCAGAGAGCCACAGGGGGCTTCCCTAAAATTGCAGGGTGTAGTACAATGAAATGCCTCTTTCTCGGTGAGCCCCGGAAGCTCCCTGAAGCTTCAGTGAGCATTTCATTACATTCAATGCTGGTTTTTATTTTTTTAGGCAACCATCTTACTGATCACAAATAATTAAAGAATGTAGAAAAATAAGAAAGTTAATTCTAGCTCCTTCACCTCAAGCTTCATGACACAGGAAGCTTCCAGGGCCTCACGGCTCAGTGGAAAGTGGACTCGGGGGGGGGGGGGGGGGGGGGGGGGGGGGGGGGGGGGATGCTTTCTGGGAATGATACCTGCTTGATGGGGTTCTGGGAGTTTTTCTACTCCCGAAGCCCAGCCCGAGGCCAGGCTCGACTTGTGAGTTATAAAACAGAGGCTACAGTTAAGGATTTACACCCAATAAATCCTCCCCGGCCAGGATACGAACCCATGACAAAGCTCTCGCGGAACGCCACGCGAGTGTCTTACCAGTACACCACGGAGACTGGTGTGTGTTAAATGAATGAATGTGTGTTAGTGAGAAATCTAAGTTGTAGACATATAAGAGGAAAATTAGATCAGCCAAAATGGTGGGGCTCAAGTGCTACTAGCTCGATTTAATGGGAACAAATAGTACAAACAAATAGTAAATACAGCTACCTCACTCCCAGCTTCCTCACACAGCTGCCTCACTCCTAGCTTCCTCACACAGCTGCCTCACTCCTAGCTTCCTCACACAGCTGCCTCACTCCTAGCTTCTTCGCACAGCTGCCTCACTCCTAGCTTCCTCACACAGCTGCCTCACTCCTAGCTTCCTCACACAGCTGCCTCACTCCTAGCTTCCTCACACAGCTGCCTCACTCCTAGCTTCCTCACACAGCTGCCTCACTCCTAGCTTCCTCACACAGCTGCCTCACTCCCAGCTTCCTCACACAGCTGCCTCAGTCCCAACTGCCTCACACAGCTGCCTCACTCCCAGCTTCCTCACACAGCTTCCTCACTCCCATCTTCCTCACACAGCTGCCTCACTCCTAGCTTCCTCACACAGCTGCCTCACTCCCAACTGCCTCACACAGCTGCCTCACTCCCAGCTTCCTCACACAGCTTCCTCACTCCCATCTTCCTCACACAGCTGGAACACTGGTCCTATACTTAGTGAAAGTTATGTCTCCATTATTTACAAAACTTAATGTATTGTTTGCATCGCATTTTTTTTTTTTTTTTGCAAAACATGGCAGCTTGCAATAGTTTTGTCAAAATATTTGCTGCATTTCTGGAGTTACTAAGGAATGATGCCTCTTTCACAAAGATTCAGAGGAAAACCCAAGTGGCAATACCTAGGAGTTTGAAAGAAAGATGAGAATACATTGGTCCATCATAGACCAATAGGAGTCCATCAGGAACCAATAAGAAAACATCAGGGACCAATAAGGGTTCGCGACAGACTGAAACAGTGTCACTATTCTGTCATTTCGTATACGTGGGTCAAGTAATTTTTTTCAGCCACATTATTGAGACTTAATTTCTACATGTAAAAGTTTGTTTAATAAGCCATGGAGAGTTTTATAATTACCCACAAGAACTTACATTGGAGCAATTATCTCCATCATAGAACGTCTCATTTGAAGACCAACAGCACTGCTCCTGGTTAAACCAAAAAGCCTCGGGACAGATCCCAAATCTTAGGTCAGACATCCAGCTTGTCCCAATGTCAATCATGCCAGCAGCAGCGCCTGCACAATGCAAATATTATATATAATAAACATATAGAATAATACAGAAAAATTAGTATTGTAATTTTTTTTAATACATTTTGTGTTAATTCAGTACACTCAGAAGTATCCAAGTTTGGTAGATCAATTATGTATTACAGTATATCAAGAAGCAACAGAAATTATCATCTTTATTGAAAAATGATGAAGAAAACAACAACAAAATTTCATAGACCATAGCCTGGTCGGGGACCGAGCCATGGGGATGTTGAGACCCGAAATCATTGCAAGGTAAGGTAGCCTATACTGTCCTAGCTCCTGAGGTACTTCAACATAATCCAGGTAGTAGATGGCTTTTTCTGTACAAGTGAAACAGATTCATCCGGCTAGAGTATAAATACACAACTGCTCAAAGCCCTGTAACCACTATATTTTATTTTACCAATGCTCTAGCATGAACATGCAAGCAGAACCACAATCAATATTGAGTTCTGTCTTACCTGCAATGACGCCCACCATGAACACACACAACCATCCCGACCAGGCGTCATGACCACTTTTTATCCAATCCCAAATGCTGTCCTCTTTCTTCTTGATGATGTAACGGTGACGCATGCGGTCTCTAGCCACATCGCGCTGCCAATCGATTGTGTGAAAGTCATCGTACTGACCAATACCAGGAAACTCCGGCTCATCGGAGTCCAGATGAAATGTGCTGTTATTGGCAGCTGTTAGAAGAGAGCAATAATATTAAGCACATTAATTAAAGAGTTAACATTAATAATAAACATGCAATTCTTTTCCCAATCTACTCACCCAGACTCTTCAATCACATCAATATGATAAGCAAATACAGTACAGTGGAACCTTGAAAAACGAATTTAAACCGTTCCAGCACCGAGCTCGTTATGTGAAACGCTCAAAATTCAAAACGAATTTTCCCTTTTAAAATAATGGAAATCAAATTAATCCGGTCTGCCACCGAAAAACATCAATATGATATTCAATGTTTTAAATAATGGAGCAGCCTACCTTACATACACTGAACAAACCTTTATGACATTTTTCTTTCTTCAAATTTGTTTTCCTTTTGTTATACCTAAAGGTTCATTTGGTGTTTGTCAGGTAGGCTGCTGCATGTTTCTTAACAAAAAAAAAAATATCTGAAAAAACAGACAAATGCCATAAAGGTTCATTCAGTGTTTGTCGGGTAGGATGCTATTTGTTCCCTTCTTTGATGTATGGTCGTTGTTGGCTTGTAGAGAAAACACAGAAGGTAACTTCTGCAGTTTATTGAGTAAGGAAACAAAGTATATAACTGGCCAGCTGAGGTCCAACCTACTCTGGGTCTATGAGAAAACTGACTGGTCACCAGAATGGCTGGTACCAGCTCTCTCTGGAGAATGATGTCAGAGGCTTGCTAGATTTTGATTAGTTACATCTCAACCGTCGTACAATTTGAATACTGACACCGCTCGGACACGCTACCAAGTCGACGTCCCTTGTCGACAAGCTCTGGCTAGCTAGATAGTTACAGTGATATTAAAAAGGACCTCGGTGGCATTCAGTAATGGCTTACACGAGAAATTGCATAATAAACATTAAAGGAAGCTCAGGTGTGTGGAATACTAACACCGACAGCATGTGCACAAACAAATTAGAACATAGTACTGTAGTTGACAAATCATGATAACAATGCTTGAACTGAACAAGAGCATGGAGAACATATACATGTCTAGGTATCAGGTATAAACAATACAATTCAAGGTGGTGCCTAAAACAAAATTATTAACATGTGTTAATGGCATGTGCTTGGAAAAATAAAGACAATTATCCGCTTTAATAGAACAAAAGTTCTGACCTAACAACCACAAAGGAATCTTAAGATTAGATAACAGAAAAAAAACTTATGTACAATATATTTACAAGCTATATACAAGGACTGGATTGAGAAGGCTGTGGTTGTTAAAACTTTAATGGAACTTTTGATGACATGAACTGTAAAAACACAAATGGCACAGTAGGCTTTACAATGGCACCTGATTTATGACAAATAGATTTGAAAAAACTTCTTTATTATGCATATGTATATAAAGGTAATAATAGGACACATGGGGTAGAAATACTGTGAAGTGAATTTTGCCAAACAAAACAGAATAACTGTAGAATGCACTTCATTATAAATTCTGCGGATATCTACACCTAGTTCTTCCAAAGCACTATACAACTCTGGCTTTGATTGAAGGTCAGGAACAGATGAAACTGCACGAGACAAACTATCATCTTGAGAGGTAAACTCGTTAACATCTAGCCAATGGACACGTGGCGAGTGCACGGTTGAAACGAAAGGCCTAGATTTAAGATTATAGGTGCTAGTATGGGGTGGCTATACATCAAGTGGTTTGTTAATCACAGGTGGTGGTGTCCCAATAGAAGAATCTGTCTGGGTAAGTTCATTGTCATCTTCTTCATCAGTCTCGTCAACAGTCATTTTGGCTAGCTTCATGTGGTCTAAATGTTCATTTATATACTCTCCTGTTAACAAATTCTTAAGACTGTACTTGTTACCTTTGATAAGCTTGATTACCTTGTATAGACCCAAAAATTTCTTAGTTAACTTGTGCACAGGGCCAGACCTGTGTTGGTTAAGTACCATTACTACAGATCCAACAGTAATCTCATTGGGTTTAGCTCTGGCATTCCTCGCTCGAGTGAACTTGGCTGTTGCCTTTGACAAGTGTTCTCTTATTTTCTTGAAAACTAGCTGCATTTGTCTACACTTCACTTGAACAAAATCATCTACGTTATATAAAGGAGTAGGAGGTACGTTAATCAATTCATTAGAGAGGATCTTATCTGTACCATAAAGAATAGTGTGAGGAGAAATGTTTCATCTGTAGAAACATTAATCAAAGAATTTATGGCACACTGAAGGGTATAAATTCATCCCAATTGGTGTTATCAAAATTTAACGTGACTCTCAAGGCATCTAATACTTTCCTGTTAGTATGCTCTGCTAACTTGTTACTTGCTGGGTGATATGGCATAATCCTACATTTTTTAATGTTATATAAATCACACAAACTAGTTAAAATGCTATTACTGAATTCTGAACCATTATCTGAAAGGATTACTTTAGGCAGACTATATCTACAAATTATTTGGTCATGGAATGCACTGGTTATAGTTTCTGCTGTATTGTTCGGGATAGGAACTAGTTCGCACTACAGTGAAAAATTATCAACCATTACCTGGTTGATACCTGGTTGATGGGGTTCTGGGAGTTCTTCTACTCCCCAAGCCCGGCCCAAGGCCAGGCTTGACTTGTGAGAGTTTGGTCCACCAGGCTGTTGCTTGGAGCAGCCCGCAGGCCCACATACCCACCACAGCCCGGTTGGTCCGGAACGTCTTTTAGAAAACTGTCTAGTTTCCTCTTGAAGATGTCCATGGTTGTTCAGGCAATATTTCTGATGCTCGCTGGGAGGACGTTGAACAGCCGCGGACCTCTGATGTTTATACAGTGTTCTCTAATTGTGCCTATGGCACCTCTGCTCTTCACTGGTTCTATTCTGCATTTCATTCCATATCGTTCCCTCCAGTACGTTGTTATTTTACTGTGTAGATTAGGGACCTGGCCTTCCAGTATTTTCCTATGTGTATATTATTTGGTATCTCTCTCGTCTCCTTTCTAGCGAGTACATTTGGAGAGCTTTGAAACGATCCCAATAATTTCGCTGCTCTATCGCGTCTACACATGCCGTATATGTTCTCTGTATTCCCTCAATTTCAGCAATCTCTCCTGTTCTGAAGGGGGAAGTGACTACTGAGCAGTACTCGAGACGGGACAATACCAGTGACTTGAAGAGTACAACCATCATGATGGGATCCCTGGATTTGAAAGTTCTCGTAATCCATCCTATCATTTTTCTGGCTGACGCAATATTTGCTTGGTTATGCTCCCTAAACATTAGATCATCGGACATCATTATTCCCAAATCCTTGACATGCTGTTTAACTATTATGGGCAGATTCGATTGTGTTTTGTACCCTGTATTATGTTTCAGGTCCTCATTTTTGCCGTACCTAAGTACCTGGAATTTATCGCTGTTAAACATCATGTTATTTTCTGCTGCCCAATCGAAAACTTTGTTGATATCTGCTTGTAATTTTTCCATGTCTTCAGCAGAGGTAATTTTCATGCTGATTTTTGTGTCATCTGCAAAGGATGACACGAAACTGTGACTTGTATTTTTATCTATAACTGATATGAGAATAAGGAACAGCAGTTGTGCAAGGACTGTACCTTGTGGTACAGAGCTTTTAACTGCACTTGGACTTGATTTGATTTGATTGACTGTTACCAAATCCTTTGTGTTCTGTTCGACAGGAAATTAAGTATCCAGCGTCCTACTTTACCAGCTATTCCCATTGACCTCATTTTGTGTGCAATCACTCCATGATCACATTTGTCGAATGCCTTTGCAAAGTCTGTGTATACAACATCTGCATTTTGCTTTTCTTCTAGAGCTTCTGTGATTTTGTCCTAGTGACTGAGTAACTGTGACAGACAGGATCTTCCCGCTCTAAATCCATGTTGTCCTGGGTTGTGTAACTCATTATTTTCCATAAAACTAGAAATTTGATTTCTAATCACTCTTTCAAAAACTTTTATTATGTGTGATGTTAGTGCAACTGGCCTATAATTTTTTGCCAAGGCTTTACTTCCCCCCTTGCGCAAAGGAGCTATATCTGCAGATTTAAGTGCAGCTGGTATCTCCCCTGTATCTAGGCTCTTTCTCCATATTACACTGAGTGCTCGCACTACTGGTACTTTACATTTCTTTATGAATATCGAATTCCATGAGTCAGGCCCAGGAGCTGAGTGCATGGGCATATTGTCAATTTCTCTTTCAAAGTCTTCCTTCCTTCCTTCCCTCTTCAAGGGACACATGTCACTTGTGCTGTAGGCAGATTAAACATCTGTCAACATAATGAGCAATGTCCTTAGCCATTTTTGGCCAAAAATACTTTAATCGACCTTGTTGGAGTGTACGATCCTTTCCTGGATGTGCACTTGCAGGAGCATCATGGATAATTTTTAACACAGTTGGCACCAAGACAGCTGGAACAACTAACTGACAACATTTCCTCGGGGCTGTCCCTAGCTTTACTACTCTGCACAGCAAATTGTCTAAAATCACTAACTCTTTCAATGGTACTGGATGTTTGGGAATCGGACGAGTATCTTGCTTGGTTAAAAACTTAATGATGGGTGCCCATATGGGGTCTTGTCTCTGTTCTGTCTCTACTACTGTAGCGTCTAATGCTGGGTAATTTAACTGAATCTCAGCAACTTGTCGAGAAAGCGCATCAGCAACAATATTTTGTTTTCCTGGAATATAACCAAATGTGGGATTGAACTCTTGAATTATGAGCAAATATCTGGCAAACTTTCCAACTGGATTTTTATTTTTGAACAAGGGAATTAATGGTTGGTGATCTGTAAGAACATAAACTGGGTAATTATAAATTGTATCCTTGAAATGTTTAAGAGCCCAAACAACTGCTAACGCTTCACGTTCTGTTACACTATAATTTTTCTCTTTAGATAATGTACGGCTTGCATAAGCTATTCCGTGATCTCTGTGACCTTCTGTTTGAAGTAATGCAGCACCTAAGCCAATGTCACTAGCATCGGTAACCAACATAAAAGGTTTAGAAAAATCTG